AAAAGTTCCCATAGGCGGCTCTTTTAAAGCTTTTACTGCTCATCAATTTAGTGTGTACAGTAATAGATGGCCCTAAAATGATTGCTCGCACTCCGACGTTCATGGAGATATGTAACATGTGCGGCACAATTGTCGTTTTTCGCACATAGGCGCACCCGACACGTGATTGCGTTTGCATGTGTGTGCTAACTAGCCCCCTATGTGATCGTAAATAGGATGTGACAAATCCTCTTTATGGAGGCATAAGGGGTCTAGTAGACCCCTATTGTCAACTAAGGAACCCAAAGAAGCTGAAGAAGCACAGATCTACTTCATCAGCTTCTTCTCCAGATACAGCAGCTGGGGAATTGACAGGCTGAACCCGGAAGTGATTTAATACACAGCACGTCCACTTTCAGTGATCGGAGGGGAGATCAGCCACAGGAAGTGTGTTAATCTCCCTCCAATTGAGGTACACAGACCCTCCCTGCAGTGGACATCGAAGCCCGGGATAGCCGGCAGGTGACAGGGGGGGGGGGGGTTCTAATCAGACCTGTGACCTGTTTCCTGACCTGTGTCCTGTTTTTCAAAAATAGTGAGACGTCAGTGCAGGTCCACTTATAGTAGTTACCTTTCCCTTTAGGCAAGTAGGCCTACCGGGACTTAGATGTCTTTAGGACTCAAGGCGCGATGCTATATTCAAAGAACGCTCCTCAGCATCCCTTGGGGAGAGAAAATTCATGTACCATGTCAGATGGTGTGTGCAAGAACAACCAGGGCAGGTGGCTGGCCTTGCAGGGGAGTGTAGGGGCGGACCTGGGAGGGGAGGGGCTGGCAGGGGGGACGAGCAGGCTGCAATACAAGTGATCCAGGCAGATCACTTGTACAAGCAGCCCGAACCTATATAAAAATGTAAAGCGCTGGCATCGGCTCTATTTATCGGGGCGTTTTCAAGAGTACAAGTACTCCTGAAAATGCCCTGCGTCGGCCTGGATACCAATACTAGTATCGGTATCTCCTTGTAGAAGCATCTTCTCTTATCTCCATGGACCAAGCCGGTGGTGGCAAAGTAATGGAATGATGAACGTCGTCTTGGCACACATCGGGCTCCTCAATAAGAGCAGAACATGGATGCCATAAAGAGTTCTGTCAATTCCCAAAACACCTTCAGTAAGACTAAAACATTTAGCGTTCCTTGCTGTTGACAGAGAGAAGGATCCGTGCGGGTGAAAGCCGATACTCAATGTACTTTATTGAATGTTTTGTTTATTCCAATGAGCGATGCAAATCACAAAGACAAAACATTTCACCTCTTCAGATATACAAATCAGGAGGACACGCGCTCATTTCACTAAGTGCGCCACTTACCAATGTTTGTATTGTGGAACCGTAAAGTCAACAGATACAATGTGAGCAGTTCAAGAATCAAGGTGAAGCTCAGAGATCAGGTAGATTCACACCAATAACAAATTCAATCATTACAGTCATTGGGTACATCTAACCCCAAGAACACACACGTCATACATTGTAGATCACCGTTCCTTAGATGTGTATACATTGTAGATCACCGTTCCTTAGATGTGTATACATTGTAGATCACCGTTCCTTAGATGTGTATACATTGTAGATCACCGTCCCATAGATGTGTATACATTGTAGATCACCGTTCCTTAGATGTGTATACATTGTAGATCACCGTTCCTCAGATGTGTATACATTGTAGATCACCGTTCCTCAGATGTGTATACATTGTAGATCACCGTTCCTCAGATGTGTATACATTGTAGATCATCATTCATTAGATGTGTATACACTGAGTGGCCGGATTATTATATACACTGAGTGGCCGGATTATTATGACCACCTGACGTTTGTAGGCAGATTAGCTATAATTTGTCGCTGAAGTTGCTAGAGGGCCAGACCATTATAAATAGGGAAGCGGGTTGGTTACCACGACAGTAGAAGTGATTTGTTTCTGAAGATTCGGGGAAACAACGCGATGTAACAGCCTCGGAACGTGGGATGATTGTTGGCGCTCGGAGCCATGGAGCGAGTATCAGCAAAACAGCAGAATTCGTTACATGTTCCAGAGGGGCTCATTGTTAAAGTGTTTAAAGACCGGACTGTCAGCCGAAAATCTGGGTCTGAGCGTGCGAATTGTGGCCGTCAGCGACTAGTCAATGTTAGGGCAGAACGGGGGAGGGGCAAGACTGGTACAAGACAACAGAAGGACAACAGTGCCGTGTCAGATTCCTCGCATCACCTTTCATCATCTCGTGGAGTCACGAGGCGGCCCCACAAAGTACTGATGGGGTGGTCATAATAATCTGGCCACTCAGTGTATATTGTAGATCTCCGTTCCTCAGATGTGTATACATTGTAGTCATGAGCAGAAAAGGGGTGAGCATGCCTCCTGAATGAGTAAGGAGTCATTGTTACCCCTAGTCATTCACTAAGTAAACACAAACAGTAAATAAAAACTCTACAAGCTGCAAAATGTCCATTGCTCAAATAGTTCCTGAGCCTCTTTGGGGGTGTTTCCGTGCGTTTGATCTCATAGACTTTTAGGTGTGAGTGCAGTTTTATGCGCATAGACTGCAGTGCAGCAAAAGCACACATGCAAACACACAAAAGCTGTTGTCAATTAGGTATATGAACTCATCTATAACCTGTCACAACCGTGCGTCTTCATAAGCATGCGTTTTTGCTCGCATGCAGACTAAATAAAAAAGAGCTGTTCCCTGTAATGTCATTCCACCATTTACCGGCAGGTGGCGCCCCCGCACAGCATACAGCGCTCACCGTCTGTTCTGTGAGGTGTCATTCCACCATTGGCCGGCAGATGGCGCCCCCGTACGGAGCATACAACGCTCACCGCTGTGCAGTCTGATCCGTGAGGTGACACTCCACCATCGGCCGGCAGGTGGCGCCACCGCACGGAGAATACTACGCTCACGTCTGTGCAGTCTGTTTTGTGAAGTGCCATTCCACCATTGGCCGGCAGATGGCGCCCCCGTACGGAGAAAACAACGCTGGCCGCTGTGCAGTTTTGTGAGCTGTCATTCAACCAAAGGCCGACAGGGGGCGCCCACGCAGGGAGTTACCCAGAGATCACCGCTATTCTGTGAGCTGTCATTCCGCTCCCGGGCGGCAGGTGGCGCTACTTTCAGTGACGTTCTGCAGCCGTTCTGTTCGCCTCTCTGGTAATTTCCGGTGTGAGGGAGTGCGGCGGAACGGAGGGAGCCGGTGTTGGTGAGTGTCGGGGCCGGTGTGGGGAGCGGAGGGAGGACGGGGAGTGCAGGCTGGAGCCGGGTACATGTGGAGGGAGACGGCTGGAGGAGCACCAAGTCTCTAGCTGTGTCCATGTCAGGCGTGCACTATACCTGCTGGAGGACTACAAGTCCCAGGGAGGCTTCTTCCTACTCCAGGAATAGTGCCTGGAGGGCTACTAGTCCCAGCATGGCCTCTGCCGTGGGGTGCGATACCTGCCAGCTGGCTGTGTCCCTCCCATGTATAGAGATATTAAAGTCCCAGTATAAAACATTCTGTTCTTCAATATATATATATAGAGAGAGAGAGAGATGGAAACCCAGTCCGGTCATTTATTGCTGCCTGTGTCCTGTTGGAGATACTTACCTTCAGGAGATCTCCCCAAAGTGTACTCCTTACATCAGGTGTTTTCACTTCCTGTTTTGATGACAACGCTGACAATTTCAGGTCTTTCACTTTACTTTGTCTAAGTGAGGACGATCCTCAGGACTAGAGAGCGGGGTGGCTTGGTGCAAACCTAGTTCCCCAGACCTCCTATTCCTCCCTCCCTTAATTCCGGTGTTCTATCAAAGTTTGTGACTGCGTTGGAATGTGTGACCGGTCACGTGGTCACACATTTTAACATAAACCCGCCCACTTTTTTTTTGCGGCGGTGGCATGTGTGACTGCCCATTAGGTGAAGCATTCCAACGCTTTGTCAGAGGTTCCCGGGCAGATCGGCATCGCGGATCGTTTCTGCAGAACTGAGCTGCCCTGGAACATCTGACAAAGTGTTGGAATGTTTCACCTAATGGGCGGTCACACATTTCCACCGATGAAATCGCAGGTTGTTGTGTATGGGGCTGTGTAGCTTTCAGACTGGTCAGGGTGCCCATGCTGACCCGTGTCCACCACCAGAAGCTCCTACAATGGGCACGTCAGCATCAGAACTGGACCACGGAGTGATGGAAGAAGGTGGCCTGGTCTGATGAATCATGTGGATGGCCGGGCGTGTGTGTGTCACTTACCCCGTGAAGAGACGGCACCAGGATGCACTATGGGAAGAAGACAAGCCGGGGGAGGCAGTGAGATGCTTTGGGCAATGTTCTGCTGGGAGACCTCGGGTCCTGCCATTCATGTGGATGTGACTCTGACACGTACCACCGATCTAAACATTGTCACTGACCAAGTCGGGGGGACTTGGTCAGTAACAATGACCATTCTGGAACCATTGTTGCAGTGTGTGCGGGCGCATTATCCTGAGAGAGGCCGCTGCCATCAGGGAACACCGTGTCTATGAAGGGGGGCTTCATGGACACGGTGTTCCCTGATGGCAGCGGCCTCTCTCAGGATAATGCGCCCGGCCACACTGCAACAATGGTTTGAGGAACACAACAATGAGTATGAGGCGATGACTCCGCCTCCAAATTCTCCAGATCTCAGTCCAATTGATCATCTGTGGAATATGCTGGAGGAACAAGTCCGATCCATGGAGGCCGATCACCTCACAACTTACAGGATCTGCTACTGACAGCTTGGTGCCAGATACCAGAGCACACCTTCAGAGGTCTAGTGAAGTCCATGCCTGGACTGGTCAGGAGAAGGGGGACCTACTCAATATTAGGGGGGGGGGTCACAATGTTCTGGCTGATCGGAGTATATTTCCTGTATCCCGCCCATAGAATTGTGTTATTTATTATAATTTGTGACCATGAAACCAATTCTATGTTTTTTCTTCTTCAGGCCTTTGGATGTTCTGGCTCCCCGTATACGTCATTCACTCAGGGAGTCACTATGGTGTTCTACTTCACCAGCAATGGTAAGGTCGGCCTGTCATGGAGACGTCACGTCCTCTGCTATAGAAGCTGCATTGCTTATAATCTACAGCTGTGCTAATGTGATTCACATTATGGCCACTAGGTGGAGCTGTGGAGGGAGTTCCTGCGCTCCTCGACGCCATCTAGTGACTGTAATGTCCGACGAATCTCACATGTTTCTCGGTTTTTAAACCCCCTCCCTTGCCACTGTGCTTCTCTACGCAATACAGGCAGATTGTGGCTGGTGGGAGGGGCTGCCAGGGTGCTGTCCATGGCTGGTGGGAGGGGCCGGCAGGGTGCTGTTCATGGCTGGTGGGAGGGGCCGGCAGGGTGCTGTTCATGGCTGGTGGGAGGGGTCGGCAGGGTGCTGTCCATCATTATTAGGGAGGGCACCATTGCGAATGCCTCATGTTCTGAACCGTGCTGACATCATTTCCTGTTATGTCTCCTGCAGTCGTGTCCCCTCCGTATACCATATACATGGGAAAGGACAAATATGAAAGTAAGTTGTCATCGCTGGTAATGGCCGACATCACACACACACACACACTTTGCTAAACGTGTTGGGGAAAAAAATGAATGAACTATGTGTAGTGTGTCACGTAACAAAGGATATAAAATTGTCATCGGGCAGTCGTGTGATTCTACAGAGCCGGGACGGTGACACCTGTATTGGGTATGAGATATTTGGAGTTTTCGGTGTCACCCGACTGCCATTAGACTCAGCAGTGTGGTGATGCCAATGTAATGTTCAGAGGGCGGGTGTGAAGCAAGGGAACCTCCCAAGCCACAACATACCATTGCGGTGCTTGGCTTTGCAGTGTTGTAGAGATGTGAGAATCACAACAACAGACCTAAAAAAAATCATTTTGCAGGTAAAACACAAGTCACATGTACAGTATGTATTATTTCGTGTAGTGGGGTCAGAACCCCTGCTAGGTTTGTATTCTGTCTGTGAGAATCACCATGACAGGACACAGACATTAAACAATTCCTTTGGAGTCGCTCAGGATGCAATGGGGGGAATTTATCAGAACCTGGAGCCCATAGTGACCAATCGGCTTCTCTCTTCAGTTTGTCCAGTGAAGCTTTACAAATAAAAGAAGCCGATACACTGTCATATTATTATTATATGATTACAGATCCATCAGCACTTCTGAGCATTGATCGAGGAATCTCCTGCTCTTTGCATTGTATTCTGACAGCGGCCGCCTCATTGGCTGCCGGCTCTGTCTGTTCCACGGCTCCTTTCATCGTCTGATTGAAGGACGCCGACAGCGGCACCCACGGTGACAGTTTCGGTTCTTGATGAATTCGTATGGTGTATGGCCAGCTTAAAGGAGAACTATGGGGTCAGTGTTTTCCCCCCGTAGTTCTCCTAAGGGTCACGGGAGGACACATACTAACCTCCTCCCGCCACCCAATGCTCAGTATATAGCGGGCTACAGCTCGCCATATACTGAGACCACCACAGCCGGGACGGATCCCGATATTACTGTCTGGATCCTCCCAGCTGCGTGAGTGACAGCTGGCTCTGCCTATCTAGAGGCAGGGCCAGTGTACCCTCCCCCGTCCGTTCCGCCAGTCAGCGCCGGAGGGGGGAATCCCTGCAGGGAGCTGTGAGTGACAGTCACAGCTCTCTGCAGGGAGATGATCGAGAAGTGAGTGAACGCCGGTATGTGTTCGCTCACTTCCCGATCTACTGAGCCGACCTGCGACAGTCTCATTGTCACAGGTCGGCTAGAACTATGAGGATGAGTGAAAAGCACATGGAACAGCAACTTTTGACGCTTTCGCTTTGCAGATATGGAACAGTAAGCCTGTTAATCAGACGCGTTTGGCGACCTCATTGTAAAACAATATCCTTCTTTCTATTTATTGTGTTGTAAGTTTATTGGGGCAATTAAAAGAAATCTTTAATACAGGGCTGGACGAATCCCAGGAGCCGGGTCGCCAATGCTCCTTAAGAATTACAGCTGGCGCCCTAACTTTTCAGGTTTTCTCTAGTTGGTAATTTTATAAAAAACTACTGCTGGCTCCTGAATTCCAGTCATTAGTCCAGCCCTGTGTATATGTGACGTTGCTCTGTACACAGGGCAGCTTGTGTGGCTATAGGTGTCCTCATAGAAATGTTTTGCTTTACA